AAGTCTCATTTTTTTCAATGATCCATAAAAGATTTTCAATCTTATTAATTTGTCTGGGTTGTTATAGTCGTAAAAAATTAAATTTGTATAAACATCTACAATCTACAATAATTATAGTTAACTAAATTATTAAATATTATTGTTAAATATCTCACATACTGATTAAATGTTTCAGACAAGTCTCATTTTTTTCAATGATCCATAAAAGATTTTCAATCTTATTAATTTGACTGGGTTGTTATAGTCGTAAAAATTTAAATTTGTATAAACATCTACAATCTACGATAATTATAGTTAACTAAATTATTAAATATTATTGTTAAATATCTCACATTCTAATTAAATGTTTCAGACAAGTCTTATTTTTTTCAATGATCCATAAAAGATTTTCAATCTTATTAATTTGACTGGGTTGTTATAGTCGTAAAAATTTAAATTTGTATAAACATCTACGATCTACGATAATTAATAGTTAACTAAATTCGACAGTCAGAAGTCGAAACGAGACAAACAAATTCGGAAACGAAAAACTCTCGAACAGGTGAAAACGTTGAAAGTCACCGAGGGTGTGAGCGCAGATATTAAAAATCGGAAATCAACTTTCAGATACCAGGCATGTTGAGCGGTCCGGCGCAACAGCGGCTGGAGGACATGTCCTGGCTGGCTTCCGGTCCGTCGCTGGAGTATCAACAGGGCATCTCGCCGATTCCCGCGGGAGTGAAGATGTGCCATCCAGGCAGTACCGCTCAAAGGAGCCTGAAGGAGCAACGGATACGTCGCCCGATGAACGCGTTCATGGTCTGGGCAAAGGTCGAGCGCAAGAAATTGGCCGACGAGAATCCTGATCTCCACAACGCCGATCTCAGCAAGATGCTCGGTAAGTTCAGCCTCGATATTCCACGAATATTTCTTCTGTTTTATGGACTTTCAATGGAACGAAGCCAATGGATTCTCAACGAGACGATGAAAGTTTTTGCGAATGGATAATAAAACGTTGCAAACAAAGTCGGGAAGCAAGGAATATTTCGTTTGATGAATTTTTAAAATTGATAAACTTATAGGTATCTATCTGCAACATTTGCTTAATTTAATTCGAAACTAGGGGTTTGCTTAACGAAACTTCAAATCGAAGAGCTAGGAAAATTCCTCAATTTGGTTAATTATTTGATTTGTTCTACGTCATAGTTTCTCTCAAGTATCAATTTTTCAAATTATGACTTGTAACACACGAATTTACGAATTGAAAACAATCGAGAATTCAACAATTCGTTTTTTTTTTTTTTTTTTTTCTAAAATTCAGCTACTCGAGTCCTCGTTTTTAGCAAGAAGAATCGTATCTGCTGTTGATCGTAAAATTTTAGAAACGAGACACTACAGACATTTAAGAAGTTATTGGAAATTTAATTCAATTCAATGAATCATTAAATTAGTACTAATTCGTTTGAGAACACTCTGAGAGATACATACAGAAAGAATTTAGAAAGGCGTGTTGCCTTTGTACCGAACGTTCCAATACTTCCTACATACTGTAATAGAGACATAATTAATTACCAGGCTGCGTTATTTTTATTACATTTGTGAGAAATTGAAAAGTGAAATATGTATAAAATATCTAAAGTATTTTACTGCGTTTGGACAGCGAATTCTTAGGATTTTTAAGATTCCAAACGATCTACAAAATTCAATGTGTGTAAAAATATTAAAAACGTACGATACCCTATTACAACACTTAGTATAAAATGGATTTTTTTTTAAGTTTGTCTACAAAAATATAAAATTGCATAAATCTATCCGCAGTTTAATTACGATCGATTTTTTTCTTTAGAAAAATAGATACTCACAAGAATCTTAGAAAATTGATAAAAATTCGCATTAATTATGTTCGAGTTCGCGGAAGAAATTAAAAAACATCGTGGCTTCGTCGGAAAATGAACAAATGCACAAACAAGCAAATAAAATTTGCACAGAGGGTCGCTGATAGTTTCGTTGTTTCACTCGACGATCGAACGACGCTTAATGAATTGAGTTAGTGAATATTTTAAACAAAACAAAGAAACGCGTTGCGAGCCGTAGGAAAATCTTTTTCACTTGGAAAGAGGTCATACGACAGCTCTGGGAATAAGAAAGTCGGAAAACTCTCTTCTTCGTGCCGGTGTTATTATTAATTTAATTACTAGTCACGTGATCAACGTGAACGAGCGGAGAAAACGCACGCGGCGAATCATAATTTTGCTCTCCACTTATCGCGGCTTATACATTTCAACAATGATTGTAATTATTATACGTAATTCACGAAGTTTCTTGTTTTTCATATAGAATTTTCCAGTAACAGTGAGCAGCTATTGTCCATGTTAAAACGTCCCAATTTTCATACTAATGTCACTTAAACGAAACAAATCTAAGTATCGTGTATTTTGACACAAATAATGCAATAGGAACAATAAATAAATAATTTTTATACTTAAACTATAAGTTGAAGTATAAAGTTATAAAAGAGTTTTGTACAGGTACAATCACTACATTATTGTGTCAGAAAATATTTTTTCGTACATTATGCTTATCAAATGAATATTATGAAGAGATTTTGTGAAAAAATTATAATATATTGGAGCGACTTTATCAACTTTTTTTTTTTTGCTGTAATATGTATAATGCGTGTAATGTATTCTTCTTCTTCGTTACGAAACTTCCGTTTCGTATATCATTTAGAAATATTATCGTTTAAAAGCGAGGGGTGTGCAGTATCAATTATCAGGCAAAAGAGTGCAAGACGAATATTAACAAAGATAAAGAAATGAATTATTAAATGATGAATCGAATTAAATGATGATTTCTTCTTTTTTTCCCCCCTTACAAGTATAATTATAAGAATAAAAATTTAACCAATAAATGAGTCAGGATCTGCAAAACATTTAAGATTCTAATTTAGATCAAGAGGCATATTAAGGCTTGGTGATTTCACTATTGTGATCTTACGTGATATGATCTTCCTTCAAATGTGTAATATTCGTCTTTGTTCCTACATATTCCGGTGGTTGATTTAATGAAACTCGCGAGGGGGAAATATACGAGTTAGAGTGAAATCATCCGATTGGGGTAGGTTATCCCTTCTGAGTTTTATGCCCATCGGAGGAAATTACAAAGATATCGAGTAGCGGAATTTAATACGTCGTAAATTCACCGTCGCGACTCGACACGCGCTCGCTTTCTTACGTAGGTGCCAACGTTACGTAGTGCATTAATATTAAAAGCTATGTACGCGCGATTGCAAGAGGCTGTTACTTTCCGTCGTTGTCGCTGTTTTTTTTCGATTGAAGCTCCTCCGAGGGCGAAGACAAACGAACAAGACGCCCCGCCGATGCAACTTGTTTGAAACCTCGATTACAAACGTGCGATGAATAATTTACCTACGACAATTCGAGAATCCATAAAATGACCGTGGATTCACTGTCGCGATGATTATATAAAAAAAAAAAGGTGTAAACTAATATTTGATCTTTCTTTATGTCAATGAGCATTATTTCAGTACGATTGTACACGGCAACTAACGTGTTATAAAAGATACAAATTTTTGTTTAATTTAACAAATCGCTGCAGTATTTATGTAGATAAGCATTTGCGTTTATGTTTGTTTATATAAAAGAAAAGTTGTTATTGAAGATTCTTCTCTTGTGTCTTAACTCAAGTAGTTCTTAAAAACAGAGAAGTTGATATGCAAGAAATAGAAGAAGTTTATCAATGGTTTGGATTTAATTGAGAGTTTGTAATTTAAAGGAACGTAGGTTTTTATTTACATATATTTTATAATAACATAATATTTGTTCTACCAATTAGATTAGGTATTTACAAGTCTTTAAAAATTCACCACTGTAAATCTACGAAATTCCCACGAGAAATAACAAATTAATCATTTCGATAGTTCTAGCGTTAATACTTAGAAACGCGAACTTGAACGTCACTTGATTCGGCTAAATCTAAATAAAGCTTCACGTTCCCTTCATTAAGAATTCAAGGACAAAGTTTACAGAAAAAAAGGACCTTTTAAATTTCCTGTAAAAAATTACGAATTTGACCACTGCGCTGGTAATCTTCCAGTCGATTCAGAACGTAAAACTATATTGACAATTTGCTGTCACTTCTGAATACGCAGTCTTTCGTCAAGCTCGTAAATCTTCTCCTCGCCTCAACGAATGAACGTTTAAACCAGAGAGCTTTGCTTAAGTCGCAGTCGCAAGGCTGCAAGTCCTCCGGAACGCGCCAAAACGTGGCGCGCCTAAAAGAGAGCCGGCGCTGATCGAAGAGGGCTTGTCCCGGTACCCAGCAATCTGTCAGCGTCTGCGGCCGCGCGTTATATCGTGGGTAGGTACACCTTGAATTATCGGCAATTGGCATCCGCAACGTTACAGGCATTCGAACGAGCGTCGTGCAGAAAATTGTAAACCTCGCTCGCGTGTAAAGCCACCTACCCGCGCCCGTTTCACCACGGCCATTCGCGCGTGTCTTCGTACGCGGCACACGCGTCTCCTCTCGTTTCACCCCGCCATCTCCTCCTCCTCTTCTTCTTTCGCTCTTTTCTCCAGCTCTTTTTTTTCCTATCAGTTTCTTCTGCCTCTTTATCTCGTTGCCCCTTTTCTCCTCGTTTCGCGCGTTGCACGTTAAATCACGCTGGCGCTGCACTCACTTGCGTTGGACGACTTTTGATGAAATTCGAATTCGATTAAATTGTTTAAAATCGTCTGTGTAGATGCAGTCGAGACGATGTTCAATTGCTCTAAGACTAAAAGTAACTGGTTCGTTTAGTCTTGGCTCGAGCAGCTTCAGCAGATCAGTTACAAAAATTTATATTTTATTACTATTCAATTTTTTATTTGCTACAGGCAGTGTAGAGCCTAGTGAAAGAGATTTATCGTAAATGAGAAGTAATTGAAAATTGGAGCATCATCGATGTAATCTTTATTAGTTTGAAACACCTCAAACATGTCAGTGGCTTTCAGTTCCACCAAAAATAGACGAATGAAAAAAATTACATCGTTATATATATATATAT